TATCAATATTATTGTTTTCTCGATGGCTATTTGGGCTATAATCAGATTGCTATTGCACTAGAAGACCAAGAGAAGACAACTTTTACTTGCCCATATGGGACTTACGCCTTCCGGAGGATGCCGTTTGGGTTGTGCAATACACCAGCCACATTTCAACATTGCATGATGGCCATTTTTTCAGATATGGTTGAGGAGATTATGGAGATTTTTATGGATGATTTCTCTGTATTTGGCTCTTCTTTTGATACATGCCTTGATAATCTGGGTCGAGTTTTGCAAAGATGTGAATAGTCAAATCTTGTGCTAAAACTGGGAAAAATGCCGTTCATGGTTCGAGAAGGAATCGTGCTAGGCCATTGGGTTTCATCTCAAGGAATAGAAGTTGACCATGCAAAAATTTTGGCTATTGAGAAATTACCACCATTGAGGAATATAAAAGGGATTCGAAACTTCTTGGGGTATGCTAGATTTTACAGGCGATTTATCAAAGATTTCTCAAAGATTGTCGGCCATTGTGTAATCTTTTAGTGAAAGAAGCGGCCTTTGACTTCACTAATGAATGATTTGAGGCTTTCCACAAGATAAAGATGGAGTTAGTATCGGCACCTATTATGATAGTCCCAGACTGGAGTGCACCATTCGAGATTATGTGTGATGCTAGTGATTTTGTAGTTGGGGCTATCCTCGGTCAAAGACGAAATAAAACCTTTAGAGCAGTCTATTATGCAAGTAAGACTCTAGATAGTGCTCAACAGAACTACACAACAAAAGAGAAGGAGATGCTAGCGGTTGTGTTTGCATTTGACAAATTCAGGCCCTACATTATTGGGACGAAGGTGATTGTGTATACCGACCATGCCGCTATTCGCTATCTGTTTACGAAAAAGATGCAAAGCCCGATCGATTAGTTGGATCCTTTTACTTCAAGGATTTGATCTTAAGATCAAGGATAAGAAAATGAGTGAAAATGCTGTAGCGGACCATTTGTCTAGACTTGAAGGGCAGGAAAAGAAAGATGATGGAGTTATCAAAGAAGAATTCCCTGATGAAAAACTCTTTGTGGCTGAAGCAAAACTTCCACGGTATGCTGATTTCTTGAACTACTTGGCTTGTGGTGTTTTGCCTCCGAATTTTTCCCAGCAACAAAAGAAGAAATTCTTACATGATGTTAAGTTGTATCTATGGGATGATCCATTGTTATTCAAGAGATGCTCTGATCAAATTATCAAGAGATGTGTCCCTATCGAAGAAACTTAATCTATCCTTCATCACTGCCATTCTTCACTATATAGAGATCATTTGGGACCAACACGAACTGTAGCAAAGGTGTTACAATCCAGTTTTTATTGGCCTTCTCTGTTCCGTGATAGTTATATATGTGTAAAGTCATGTGATTGTTGCCAGCGCCAAAGTAATATATCTCGACGCCATGAACTTCCATTGACAAACATACAGGAAGTAGAGCAATTTGACGTTTGGAGAATTGATTTCATGGGGCCCTATCCGCCTTCTTGTGGTCAAGTTTTTATTCTCCTAGCAGTTGATTATGTCTCTAAGTGGATCGAGGCAGTAGCTACACCAACAAATGACGCTAAGGTAGTCCTCAAGTTTCTTCAAAAGAATATATTCACTCGATTTGGAACACCCCGAGCACTTGTCATTAATGAAGGCACACATTTCTGAAACAAACTAATGAATAATTTGTTGGCAGGATATGGAGCGAGACACAAGAGGACTCTTGCATACCACCCACAGGCAAATGGACAAGTTGAACTCTCGAATAGAGATATCAACTAGATTTTGGAAAAAGCAGTTAATCTCAACTGTAAGGATTGGGCACTCAAGCTTGATGAGGCATTATGGACATTCCGTACAGCCTTCAAAACACCAATTGGCATGTCCCCCTATCGATTGGTTTTTGGAAAGACATGTCATCTTCCAGTTGAGCTTGAACACCGTGCATTTTGGGTAATAAAGAAGCTAAATTTTGACTTGAAGGCATCTAGTGAGCAAAGGCTCTTACAGTTGAATGAGATGGATGAGTTTCGATATGAAGCTTACGAGAATGCGAGGATATACAAGGAGAAGATGAAATCCTGGCATGATGCTCACATAGTACGACGAAATTTTACACTGGGACAACAAATATTGCTTTTCAACTCGAGTTTGAAACCTTTTCCAGGGAAATTGATGTCTAGGAGGTCGGATCCATTTACAATATCAAAGGTGTTTCCATTTGGTGCTGTTGAGCTAAAAGGCAAGGATAACACAACATTTCGGGTCAATGGACAACGCATCAAGCATTATTATGGATAAAAAGATCGTCATGTGTCTCTTATCAATTTGGCAGAACTTAGCTAAAACAAAAGGGCGTCGGGCTGATGACGTTAAACTAAGAACTATTTGGGAGGTAGCCCAAGTTTTCTGAACCTTAATTCCTTTTATTTTGATGTTTATTCTTGTTTTTCTTTTCTTTTTTTAGTTCATTGAGTCAATTTTTTACGGTAGCTATTTTTGTTTATTTTGGTTGAACAAGTTCATTGAGGCATTAAATTGGGACATAGTATAATAAGTCAGTGTTTTGGAGCCATATTCAAATTTTGGCTGAACATTATAGCGCCTCTGCTACATTTAGAGGCACAGCTGCGCATTGGTTTAAAAAAAAAAAGGGACTATTTTACCTTGGGCGCCCTTGTGCCCACTCGTTTTTTTTTTTTAAAGAAAGGTGTACAAAAATTTTCACTCCAAAGCCCTAACTCCTCAATTTCTTTTCACTCTCTCCCTTTTCCCTCATTACCTACAACCACCACCATCACCCATCTACTTCATTTCCATCAACACTTTACCTTTTCCCTCTTAATAGCTAGAAAGGATTTCATAGGCCTCTCGATTTATTCAAAATCTTATCTTGGTACCATTTCTGAGCTTCTGGACTTGTGAATTGCTTTGACTGCCCACCGGAAGAACTCGAATGACCGGCCTGTCGATTGGATGAAGCTCTTCGTCGCTTAAGGGCAGCATTCAGGTTCTTGCTCATTTTTGCAACCAACACTTTGTTCAAATATACAAACACCAACACAACACATTACTACCACCACTCAAATAATCCCAAAAACTTCTTTTCAACAATTCATGCTCTTCCCCCGTAGTGCACTTCACTAACAACTTTACAACAGCACTTCAACCCCTCACAGAACTTTTATCGAACACCTCATATGCATATATACTCAAACATTGGTTTTAAAATATTCCTTCAACATATAATGTCTACCAACACAAAACATCACCAAAAACCACAATTTTGAGAATGTAGACAAGAATTAGAACACTTACACCCGTCTTTTGAAAGTGAGAACCGAAGTGGGTAGTGCGAATTCGCCCTCCTCCTCTTATATAAATTGATGAAATCTTGAAGTGAGTGTTGGGTGAGATGCAAAAAAGATGAAGTGTTGATGGAAATGAAGTAGATGGGTGATAGTGGCGGTTGTAGATAATGAGGGAAAAGGGAGAGAGTGAAAAGAAATTGAGTTAGGGCTTTGGAGTGAAAATTTTTGTGTACCTTTCTTTTAAAAAAAACGAATAGTCCCTCTTTCAACAGCCAACAGTGGATAATTTTAGATGACTATATACTAATGACTTGTATAAGAAATTTAACATTACGTGTAAGACATTGCACATCAAACTAACACCGTAACCTAAAAAACTAGAAAATAGGAATTTTCATTTGTAAATGAATCAAAATTATATAAAAGACAACCTAATTTAATGTTGATTACAATCTCTAGTACCAAAATCGGTCCACTTGCCCTACCCACTCTCCGTTGTCCAAACAATTAACAGCTGTTAACAGACAAATTCAGGTGCAAATAATGAGTCTATAGTTGATTTCTAAAGCCCGTAAAATTCCAGCAGTCCATTTTTGCTTTTTCAGCCAACTTTCATGGACTTTGACACCAATTACAACTAACAATAGTATTTAATGATGAATGGACCTAAGTTTGTTGGCCAAATATGTCAAAATAATTTAATTTTCTTGTTAGTTGACACTCTATTTGTTGTTATTATTGGTTCATAGTTATAAAATAGTTTTAGAAATATATTTGGGCATATTATGTGAGTCGAATTCAAAATTTTCAGCTTTTTTCTATGAATCTCTAGACTACTTTTCCATGGCAATTGGTGTGAAGTGTTTTGAGTGACTTAAGTAGGTACTGCAACGATTTTGTCATAATTTTTGTTATATATAGGGAGTCGTTATTAGAATTTAAAATTATCATCATCAGAAGAGAGGTCAGAGAAAATCGAGTTTACAATTTTTCTCTTATAAACCTTTTTAAATCGTAATAAATTATTATAGTTGCGAAAGAGGATGTAATCTCTCATTGAGACGAACTTCAATAAATTTTGTGTATTTTCATCTGTCTATTTTTTCTGCAATTTTATTGCTGTCGGTGGTGTATGGAATTAAAGTTTCTAATTTTCATCAAAGTGGACAATATTTTGTTCCGGGTGTGATTGAAAGAAACGGGAGAACAAATTTCATGTCCAACATGTTTGGTACATAGGGTCAGAGGTGAAAAATGGACCGTGTTGAACGCTCAAACCACTATTTTTTGACACACTTTACATGGCCCCACATTTTTTGATACATTTTGAACAAGATTATACAAAAGAACTGTTAAATTTTCGAGAAATGCTATTCATCCCCACTTAGATGCATCCTCAGTCTATGTGACGTTAATGTGACATTAAATGATAGGTGAAATTAAATAAGTCATTTACATCCACATAGATTAGGGATGCATTCCCACTGAGGATGAATAGCATTTTTCTAAATTTTATCACACTCCTGTAGACTTTTAAGTTTATTTGATTTACAAATTTTATGAAAAGCAACTCTTATTTTCATATTTGTCATTCTTTATTAAGTTTCTCCAATCCTTATCCTCCCAATCCTTGTTTGCGAAGTTTATCGACTTTTACACATCAAACATGAAACAATGTCTAAAACCGTGTTTGGGTTTATTTTTGGACCAAATCTGTATTTGGTATGGCTATACGATAGAATGGCAAGTACTATCTACTTTGAGACCTGTCCTCCACTCGAAACTGGGCCACTGGTATTAGCCAAACACGTCATTATCAATGCACATGAAATCCTAACTACTGTCTATATGATCCAACGTCACATATTGATTTAATTTCTTCAAAAGACAGCCAGCTTGCAACAACTAAGCACAAGTTAAGATTCTGTTCTTCCCTACAAATAAATACCCTAATCTTGCACTACATTTTCACTCATTCATCCATCGAAACATGGCATTTTTTCAAGACAAGTTATTCATTTTAAGTTTCTCAATTTTTTGTACGATAATCGAGGTTTCTGCACGTGGCGCAGTCTATGCACCTCCAAATGTCGAGCGATTAACCGATCGTTTCAGCCGTGTACCGGTTAATGAAAGGTATAATGTAGCTTTTGGAGGATCTAATGTTCATATGACCAACAATGGGACCAACGCTGATGTAAGTTTGGACAAAACATCAGGTAATTTAAATAACAAAAACAAGAGACTTATATTGTGTACTTTGGTTTTTTTAGGACATGTTATATTTTCTATTTCTGGGTTTTCTAGGATCTGGATTGATGTCAAAGAACAAATACTACTATGGATTCTTTAGTGCTGCAATGAAACTGCCTGCTGGTTTCACATCAGGAGTTGTGGTTGCCTTCTATGTAAGTTTTTCCAATTTCACGTTCACGGGATTCTACGTGCGTGCTTGGCACACAACACTGAATAAAATTGTATAGTGAGCAAGATTTTAACTTCATAATTTCCATAAGGATCGAGGCATTATGACATGGCCAATTGCGGTTCGTGTAGAGACGGTAATGAAATCAACAGAGTCGTGAAAAATGATTCACAGATTTGAACCCAAAATTATCAAAAATATTACCTAGTGTGCTCTTCTGCATGGAGATCTTGAATCAAACTGAAGATCATGTTTCTATTGGTAAATTTTTGTTTCTTTTGCCATATGCAGTTGTCCAATGCAGATGTTTTCCCCCATAACCACGATGAAATTGACATTGAATTGCTTGGTCACGAGAGGAGAAAAGATTGGGTTCTGCAGACAAATATATATGGCAATGGAAGTGTGAGAACAGGAAGGGAAGAGAAATTCTACCTCTGGTTCGACCCAACGACAAGTTTTCACGAATACAGCATCCTCTGGAACAATCATCACATAGTGTAAGTCGATCCATCCATTACTCAGAGAGACTTGATACTACCGAATTACTACGTATTTATCTTTCAATATTTTCCATGGACTGAATAATACAGGTTTCTAGTAGACAATGTACCAGTAAGAGAAGTGATTCACAACACTGCCATATCTTCCGTTTATCCATCAAAACCAATGACAGCATACACAACAATTTGGGATGGATCAGAATGGGCTACTAAAGGAGGAAAATATCCCGTAGATTATAAATACGCGCCTTTCATCGTATCTCTACAAAGTACAGAAGTCGAAGGCTGCATTTTGAATAAAAAAAGTAACGTATCTGCTTCGTGCACTCGAAGCAGCCTTTCGAGTTTGGATCCTGTTGATGGAGAAGAATTTGCAAAACTATCAAGCCAACAAATAACAGGGCTGCTGTGGACTAGAGGGAAGCACATGTTTTATTCATACTGCAAAGATACAGCCAGATATAAAGTTCTACCACCAGAATGCAATGCCAAATAAAGGGATTTATATTTTTTTTTTATTTAATTTTTGCAACATTTTAGAGAGAATGAATGATCAATAATGTGGAAAACCAAATAGTTTAGATCAAGGTTTTTCATAATGAAAGAGGATGTAAAGAATTCTTGGAGCTTATACTTATTATAAAGGTAATGATTACATCTGTAAATTTTAATTTTTCAGTATAGGTGATAACTTTTATTCCTTGAATAATATGGTTGTCGGCCATAACATTTAGCCCATGTTTGCCATCCATTAATATGAGTTTTTTTTTTGGAGGAAATGAGTTTCGGGAATAATGATTTTTTCGAGAATGTGTTGTTAAAAAGTAGAAAAAAATTTTGAATTTACATACAAAATATTATATTGTGTGAATGCATGGTTGAAAATGAATTTGAGGAGAAAATGCTTTTGATTTAATGAATGCCAGATAGGGACACGTACGGCCTCGGGTAATAAAAACCTGATGCCAATTTTCTCCTCCCTTCTCCGCTCACTCATAGGGGTCTTGACCCCACGAAGGGGGAGGGAGTCAACTGCTAATAAAGTATAGCATATCATACTAGAAGGCCTATTATACGTTTCTATTAAAAAGGATCTCCTCTTCTCAAAACCCTCAAATAACTTAGAAACTTTTAGATGAGATTGATAGTACCAAGCTAGACAAAAGACTTGAGTTGAAGTCTCGCTACTATCCATTTATGAAAAATTGTCCCATGAGAGTTCGGTTGACAAGTTTGTCTTCTCGATAGACTTCTGTGAACCATCAATTATCTCCAACGTTTAGTCTAATGTCCAACATTTAGAATCAATTAGCGACTTATGTACTAAAAGGTCATCGTGAGAATTGTCCTGCCATTTTGCTGGCCGTTGGCATCAATTGAAGTCGAGGTCATGCTCACAAATTTTGACCACAACAATAATAAAACTTCAGAAACTGCAGGAACAAGTGAATGTAGTATAATGGAATGACAGTGTAATGCGGGAGCATGCTTGAAATGATGTGTGCTCGACGAACTATGCTGGATTCCGAAGCTTGATTCTAGATGATATAGGGTGGATTGTATGCGCCATGAGTTATACTTTCGGACACAGTTGTGACAGTATTGTACATCATAACGTCATAAGCAAAATTAAAGAGAAGCGTAAAATGGCAGCCACAAATAGACATTTTCATTAATACACGATAGGAAACTGTTTCGATTTTAGCAGGTTGGAGCTTTACTTCGTAGAGAAGTAGTTCAAACCAACTTCAATATTCCTGCTGAAAAGCACTTTGACAACTGGAGGCTAAAAGGTGCTACATTAAACAATCTTACATTTAAATTATTGCATCAACCCTTTTCCCATCATATCACAAGTAGGATTGGGCTTAAAAACCACAACCCAAAAAACCGACCTGGCCCAACCCGAAACAGGTCGGTGGGGTCGATTTAGATATAAATCCGGGTGGGGTCAAGTTAAAAAAATTAAAATAATTGTGGGTCGGGTCGATTCAGCCCAACCACGGTGAAACCCTATTTTATTCAGTTCGCACAGTGAAACCCATTGAAAATTGAAATGAACTCTTTTATTGGATGATGTGTGAAATGCGTGAGAGGCTAAAGTAGCCATTCTTGTGGTGGTTGCTGTGCGAAATGTGTGCGAGGCTGAAGTAGCAATTCTTGCAATGAGAACTTAAGGAGGACGAGGGCTGAATATTCATCATCTGTTGGTTTGCGATGAAAATGAGACCGCTTTCTTTTCTTGTTCAAGTCAAGTCGGGAACTCTCTATGAAGTATCGAAGACCTGATGTGGATGAATTTAGTTTTTAAGGACCCATATTCACTATGTGCAATGTGTGAAAACACTTAGAAAGGTGCAGTTACTTCTTCTCGTGTCCTCCTTGCCTCCCTCTCTTGTCTATATTCTATTACGGGAGAATTAGAATTTCCCATACAATGTGATTTTTATCCACTTATTTTCAATTTTACCAAAATTATATAGATAGATCTTGCATTTGGTTTGACTTATGCATAAGATATTATTGAGGAAAAAAACCTCAGCTGCACCCAACCCGATTCGAGTTGGGTAGGTTTAGGGTAAGAGCTGGATTGGGTCAAACCCGACCCGATCCGACCCATTGCCCACCCCTTAACAAGTCATAATAATAAGGAAATGTCCCCTATCTAGACTTGTTATTAGGGGTGGGCAATGGGTCGAATTTGGCCAAAAATCGACCCGACCCGATATACTCGATTTTGGGCTCTTTTACAAACCAACCCGACCGGGCTCTTACCCTAAACCGACCCGAATATAGTCGCGTCCGGTGCAGCATGGTTTTTTTTTTTTTTTCCTCTCAATAATATCTTATGCAGTAGTCAAACCAAACGCAAGATCTATCTTATATAATTTTCATAAAATTGAAAATAAGTGGATAAAAAATCACACAGTATGGGAAAATCTAATTCTCCCGTAATAGAATATGGACAAGAGAAGCAACTGCACATTTCTAAGCTTTTTCACACATTATACACAGTGGATATGATTCCTTAAGAACTAAATTCATCCACATCAAGTCTTCGATATTTCAACATAGAGAGTTCCTGACTTGACTTGACTTGACTTGACCAAGAAAAGAAAGCGGTCTCATTTTCATTGCAAACTAGCAGATGATGAATATTCAGCCCTCGCCCTCCTTAAGCTCTCACCGCAAGAATGGCTACTTCAGCCTCTGACACATTTCGCACATCATCCAACAAAAGAGTTCATTTCAATTTTCAATGGGTTTCACTGTGGGAACTGAATAAAATAGGGGTTCACTATGGCTGACCCGACCCCACTAGACCAGGGTTTATATCTAAACCGACCCAACCCGACCCATTTTGGGTTGGACCGGGTCGATTTTTCGAGTTGTGGTTTTCAAGCCCAATCCTACTTGTTATGGAGTTGGGTCGTCCAATGGAATCATTGGATAATTTCCAAAACAAATGAAAATAGGAGAAACCGCATAATAAAGCAACGACAACATCATATATTAACTAAAGGATCAAAATAAATAAAATTGCAATAAATAAAGAAAATTTCCCAAAAAACGTATACGTGCTTAAAAAAAAAAAATTCATTCATCAATTATAGATTGCAGCATAATCCTTCAACACTTTCGACTGCATACAGGATAGAAATGTGCCTACCATTGCACTTGTATGGAAACCGGAAAGATATTGTCATCAATATCAAGGAGATCACACATTAACAACCTGAATTATTGACAGGCTACTCAATAAAATCATTTAAAGAGAGAGTCCGAAGAACCTCACAACCATGCCGGATTCTTCAGAGTAGTAACGATAGCCTTCACTTGCAAGTAATTCTTGAGACCGTATTCTCCCTTTTCTCTTCCATTTCCACTCATCTTGTAACCACCAAAAGGAATTGCTGCATCGAAAACATCATAACAATTGATCCAAACAGTCCCAGCTCTCAATGCTCGCATCAAGGTGTTAGCAGTGTCGAGGTTCTGAGTGAAAACTCCAGCAGCTAGCCCGTACTGAGTATTGTTTGCCCGTCTTATCACTTCATCAAGATCCCTGCCATTAAAGTGGTAAAATTACTTGAGAGAGCCATTACAATTTGAAGATCACAGCATGAAAAGTTATTCGCAACGTACTTAAATTTCAAGATAGATTGCACTGGACCAAAGATTTCTTCTTTTGCTATGAGCATGTCATCCTGTCAAATTGCAGTATGTTAATAAAGATTAGCAACCATGTCTAGCTAAGCTTAAAAGGTTTTCTCATAAGCAAATACTCAAACAAATATGTTTTGAATTTTTTTAAAGTTGAAAGTAAATCAAATTACTTATTTTGACAATAACATAATAGTTACTTTAGTAACTTCGTTTCATTAAAAGTAAGAAAAATGCAATTTGTTCAAACATGTTTGGAAATGAAAATATAACTATAACTAACTTTTTAAGCTTAACCAAAGTCCAAACGTGCTCTAAATATTAAGCTTCGTGGAAGAAGCCTAACAAAAATACTGTTCAAAATGACATACCTTGACATTAGAGAAAACAGTTGGCTGAATGTAGTAGCCTTTTGTACCCAATTTATCACCTCCAGCCTCAAGATTTGCTCCACTTTCCGTACCAGATCTAATATACCTCAGAATTTTTTTAAATTGCACTGCATCAATCTAGTGTTCATGAATATATTCGCATTAAGGCTTATTGGACAAGAAAGCAAGAATCAAAGCCATGTACGTTTTCATAGGAGATTACATAATAATAATCAGCATGAAACTTTATTGATGACAACATGGCAGGTCCGAAGGTCATATACACAGAATTATTATTGACTACAAGAAGCTCTATGCAAAGCTTGTGTTTAGAGTTTACCTGAGGGCCTTGTTCTGTTCCCGACTTGAATGGGTCACCAACAGTGCGTTTCATAGCACGGGCCTTTGCTTTCTCCACAAACTCATCATAAACTTTCTCGTGAACATATGTCCTAGATCCAGCACAGCAGCATTGTCCCTGAACACATTCCACATCACAGTTTAAACTGTTTTCCATGATTCAACCTCATTTAGGAATATCACACAGGAACCGTAGGTACCTGGTTGAAGAAAAGAGCAGAGTGAGCTAGCTCAACGGCCTTATCCACATCAGCATCCTCACAGACTATAAAAGGAGATTTCCCGCCAAGTTCCAAAGTAACGGGCTTCAGATTGCTTTTGGCAGCCAATTCAACAATAACTTTGCCAGTTTCCGTCGATCCAGTGAAAGCAACCTGCAAAAGTAGAGCAGATACATCAAGATATGAAAGAGTATAATAAATAAATGAAGTCTACTTGAACCTTATATTAACTTGTTATAGTTCAATAATACTCATTACGGTCAGAGGTAAATGAAATCTTTATTCAGTGAGAATAATACAGAATTTGACCGAGCTGTAATTCCTTTTCAATTACTCTGCTCTATCAACCATCAAATCTTGAACCAATACACAGAAAGTATTTCCTTTTCCCATTTCCTCATTCCATGTTATTTTAGTCTTCGTCTTTTTCTGGGTATGCCATCAACGTTGATCATATCATTTTGCACAAATGGTGAACATAAAAATAGTATTTGTTCATTTTCGAAGCAAATCTATCAATTCTCTNATTATATGTTTGTTCAAACCAAAAAATACAAGTACATGCCGTAACACAAGGATGACTACATTTCAACAATTGTTATTGGTATAAATCTAGGGAGCAAATATAAGGATGTGTGGACACGTATATTATTATTATTATTATTATTATTATTATTATTATTATGTCATGAGGTTTCTAAATGCGTTGATTGTTGCATGCTGTGCCTTTAAGTCAACGAGGAAGATGACTTCATTGAGTTTGCACAGTATAATCTAAGAAAGACAGAATTGCATCGCTACCTACTTCTTAGAAAAGGGTGTGCAGGAGCATCCGGTTTCATTTGAAATTTGAATTAGTTCAAAAAAGGGGGTTTTGTTCTGGTAACTCCATCTTTAAGTCTTGGCAGCAAGAGAAACGAATTTAGGAGATGTATTTATGTAGGGGAAAAGATGCTAAGCATTCCCTACAACCAACTAAAGGTTTGCTGCATTTTGATTCACCATTATTAATTGAAACATTCAGAATAACATGTAAGCTGTTGTTTTTATAACGAAAACTAACACATGGGAACTAAGTACCCAAACTAAACAGAGAAAAAGCTTATGGTGTTGTTTTAAAGACAAAAATGATCAGTGTATTTTTCACAGTACCTTGTCCACATTCATATGACTGCAAAGAGCTGCACCAACTGTAGGACCAAAGCCAGAAACCACGTTCAGAACACCAGGAGGAAGGCCAGCCTATGCAAATGTAGAAAGAGGTATAAATTGTCAAACGACATATAGAAATATGAAACAGATAAGTTCATCATGGCCAAAAAAGATGAAACTGGACACCTGTGTGGAGCAAAGAACTATATTTATACCACCATGGATATGATAGTACTGGTGATATATAGAGCGATGAGTAGAAGTATAATCATAGAAAAGGAACTAAAGCATTTTGCATTCTCGAGGTTTCTGTATACATCTTCTGTGACAATTCTAGTAATAACCTTCAGCTGAACAATTTAAATAACCTCTACAGTTTAAAGGGTTTGCACATGAACTGGAAGTTTCTGATATTAAACTATGAGCCAGGCTAACCATGTTGCAGAAGGAGCATTCCAGAACTTCTGAAATACTCCGGAACAAAAGAAGAAACAAAAACATACTTTCTACAGATCAACCAGGTTCGCCTATTATATCAATTCGGTAGATCAAGATGACTAAAACCCCATTTTTATGGTGAAACGCCTTAGGTAAGACAAATTATTCTACTGAAATTCACATTTCGTTGGCATATGAGCGAACCAATTCAAGCAGAAGCCATAGAAATGACATCATAAGATGAAAGTCTGGGTATTGGTTAAAAATTACCTCGTGGAATAGCTTTGACACAAGGAGAGCGGATAATGGTGTCTGCTCTGCTGTTTTCAGAACAATGGTGTTGCCACATGCAAGTGCAGGCCCAACCTTCCAAGCAAACAAGAGTAGAGGGAAGTTCCATGGGACAATCTGACCGGCAACACCAATTGGTTCGTGCAAAGTTTGAACATGATGGGGACCATCAGCTGGAATGGTGAGACCATGAATTTTATCTGCCCAACCTGTATAATACATGGACAGGAATCAGGTAAATTCATCGAGTACAGGAGAAATCTTGTCATTGCGATTTGTGTTCTTTCATTTTGTCAATGACCTACCAGCATAGTAACGAAATATTCGGACGACCTTTGGTATTTCAATGTTGGCAGATTGTTCATATGGCTTTCCATTATCCCAAGACTCGAGAGCTGCAATTTCATCATTATGCTTCTCGACCAAATCAGCAAAGCGAAACATTATCTTTGATCTTTCCTGCAGGTATAAGAGAATTATGTTCAGGTTTCGTTCCCGATTTCTGCATCAAAGAGTCGTATAATTTAATCAGTGACGCCAAATAGTTACATAAGCAGTCATTTTAGGCCATGGTCCCACGTCAAATGCCTCACGAGCAGCAGCTACAGCTCGATTGATGTCTTCTGCATCACCTTCGGCAACATGTGCTATTACCTCACCTGTCCTTGGGTCTAAAGTTTTAAATGTTTTCCCTGATTTCAGAAAGTTCATGGAGTTAGCTACATCAACTGAAAGATGGATCAAGAGTTTGAAATGAAGTGACCGCTAACAGATGATTATGGTATCTTATTACATCAATGAATTGGATTGAAAAGGGTACCTGATGCTGCATCAACAAACCGTCCATTGATAAGAAGCTTATCATATTCTACTGTAACTGGTGGCTTGATTGGATCTTCAAGAGCAGCAGCTGTGCTGTACCGGTAAATTCTTCTGCCGAAATAAGATTTTTTCCCTGTATATGATAGTTTTTAAGCTTTAGTATAATCGACAAGTAAAAGAAAAGAAGGCAGTGGTAAAATCCCAAATACATAATATGGTTTTTGCAGAGATTGAAAAGTTAGAAGCAGCCAGAGGAAACTCTTGCAATGAAAAAAGTATCGCTCGCGTCATATTCAGAAGCAGCTAGCAGACCCCCAATATTGAGAAGCCAGATAGAATTTCAAATAATTCATCACATCCAACAAAAATCTCGATGAAACTCCATTAAGTATTCCTTTATGCATTTAACCAGTATTGGAAACTGTACAACATACCATCGCTAGAGATCAGAGGCAGAGATCGAGAGAGAAGAGATGAGATTCTGCGAGCTGCCATAGCCAAAATTGCACAAGATAGGTAGTATGCTAACAATTAAAACCACCTATCGATCTGTGACTATACTTGTACTATTTACATACAGGATAGGGCGTGTGATGTAATAAAGACTATTTTTGAGGTTTTAAATGTAACAAAGACTCCATTTTTTTAGTAGGATGATTAGGTGTATACGGATGTGTATGCAGTGTGAAGACAAGGACTGCATGAACAACCTAACAGCCTTAAAAGTTAGTGGGATTTGATATTAAAGTCCTACGATAATAAGTTTGCTCTTTACAGATCAGAAAAGTTGATTAAATGGGCATTTTTGTTTTATATTATAATATGGTGAAACATTTTTCTATGTGGCAGAATTTGGACCGCGAAGAAGTATCGAGAAAATCAAAGGAGATGATGGTGCCTGTATGGAAGAGTGTAAGCAATAATGTAAACTATAATATACTCGTAACCTATTAATAGAATAATTAGGATAAGTTTAGATTTAGACATTCTTGACGTGATCTTTGAACCTCTTGTTAGATTGTAACTTCATTAAACAAAACATCATATTCAACCTAACATCGACGTAACCTGAACTTTGCATTTATTTTTTAGTTTTATTTTTTTCTTTTTGGTTATGCACCATTACGAGCGCCCACACCTGCCCACCTCTAGGTCTTGGTGTAGGAGGTAAATCGCCAGATATGCCTGAACTTTGCATTTCTGTCCACGATTTGTGATGGTTAATTCAAAGAGAAATATGGGAGTAACAATTTTTTAAGAATATGTAGTTAGAAAGAAGAAAAAATTTGTAAACTTACATGTATAAAATGTGGTTCAAACAGGGCTAAAGTAAAATTTTGCAACGCACACACTAAATCAATAAATAATGAATTATATTCTGTGTACGTTCCTTGATGACATTTTTGTCGACGTTGTGTATATTGTCAAAATCTGTGTAATTGATATTTTTAAATGTTATTAAAATTAAGAACAAAAATGTTGACCACTTCCTACAATGTCAATCAAACTATCCCAGTAGCAAAATTGGCAAATAATAGTGTAATGTGATAAGAGGGTAAAATAGATCCATTATCTTTTTTTTTTTTTTTTTTTGGTTTCGCATTTCTTATCAAATAAATAGAGGATTGACCTAGAGTTTTATTATTTTATGCATCAATCCTTACATCTCATACTACTATTGGGATAACACCTACTTTTGATATGTTGGAATCAAGATCACGATTACCCCCCACCCCCACCCCCACCCCCACCCCAAATTCTGACTATCCATTCACATAAATCTTGATATTACACTATGTTAGCTTCGAACGTAAATAACATGATATCATAATATACACTACAAGTGTCATCACCTTTAAATTCATATCTTGCTATTTTACATACAAACCAATATGATGAAGTGTCAAATTTATGGCACTCAAGTGAGAACAATCGATCTCAACTTTCATGTCAAGTTACAACACATGACGCTGTAACCCGAGAATGTCTTAATAATTATCCATTGACGTGTAGTAAAGAATCACTTTCGGATATATCTCTAAAGTTGCATGTAGAGCATAATACAGAACTAATATTTACAGCCTGTTTGGGAGTCATTAATTCCACATTGTAATAAAAAATATAAAAGTTGCAACAGTTTGGTTAACAATGATACAGCCGCAATATTTGGAAAAAAAAAATGGCAGACGTCTTTTTCTATTCTGAAATGTCAAAATCGTCCTGGTTATGAATATTGAATGCAATAAGTTGGCGGCATCATGGTCTTTTCATCAAAATTTTTAATTAACTGCATATAAAACAGTCAATCATGGCTGCCAAAGTGGGGCCTATTGACTGTATAACGTTCGAATTCTTAATTATAATTTTGGAAGAAGGGCATCCAAACAGGGGCTTAGTAAAATTTTAATTCTGGACAATTTTAAACTTTTTCAATAAAATCATCCCAGACTAATTCAGAAAAGCTCAAAAACAAAATTTGCTCATAATTTCTCTAAAGGTCCGTTTGATTGTAAGGGTGGAAAATTGGTGGGAAAAAAATGAATTCTAGAGAAGGTAATTGCCAAAAAAAACGCAGCACCTGGAAAATTTTTTCCTAACTCATCAATTTTGAGGAAAATAGACGTGTGAGAGGGGTGGGGATAAAAAGTTTTCTTGACAATTTTTATCCTATCAAACACACAAATTGAAAGGAAATAAAATTTATTTTTCATTTTCCACGAAAAATCTACCGAATCAAACTGGGCCTAATCTTTTCGTTTGTTTTTGCCTACTTGCCTTCCAGTCAAAAAGCAGACAAATTTGAACATATTTTGACTAACAAATGTAGAAAAATGAAATTGATTGCTAACTAGCTATAATTGGCAAAGTTTTCCGAGCTTGTAAATCCTTTCAAAGATAAGATTTAAATATATGTACGTAACCTTATCTAATCATTTAAGTTTTAAAATTAAGTTATTCATCGCAATATTAAAACATTTAGTAGCAAGACTTTTAAAAAGTCCAAAGCTACTTTCAATACTCAAAAAAAAAACAAAAAAAAAAATCTTTTGAATCTGTTTGAATAATTTCCTAGAAGTACTTTTGGACGAAGAGCTTTTAATAAAAGTTGATTCAATGTGATTTCATCATAAAATCCTCTACACAAATAAAAATATAGAAGCAAAAGCCCTATCAAATAGTTGCCGCCACCAATTTATTATAATTGTGCTGATATTAATTTTTAAAAAAAAATGAATCACCGACACGTGTAGGTCATGTTAAAGATAAAGTTTAAAAATGGTCGAGCTCATATATATTTTCAACTCTTTATGTTATAAAGAGCAAAGATTGGTCTATCTTCTAGATCGCTAATTTTTCATCATGATGATGTTTGAATAGATAAGGCAACAAAAGAATTGTCAAAGGAACCAGTTTTCATTTATCAGTTAGATAAGGCAAGATTTTTACAAGATACAAACATGATACCCAAAAACAAAAAAAACAAAAAAACATCCGAATTAGGAGTCACTTGAGAAATGGAATCCCAGAATAAGTCTGTGTAGCATACTCCTCGTATTCTATACCAAAAAACTGCCGCAAGAAAAACTCCTCGTATCGTATCCGTTGCTGGAAAAAACGCCAAACAACCAGTGCAAATGCAAGTGCGGATAAAGGATTACAAAGCATTATTTGTGTTCCAAGAGACCAGATGAAGAAACCGCAATAACTTGGGTGTCGCACATATGCATACACTCCATGAGTGACCAATTTATGATGCTCCTCGTGATGTATCCTTATGAGATGAGTGAAGGACCTACCAGCAGTAACTATAGCCAACTTTCTTATGACCTCGCCAATAATAACCATCAAAAGACCAGTGTTGCTTATCCACCAGTGTTCCTTCAACCCCGGGAAGAAATAAATTTCAACCACGTACTCTACCAACGAACCAATCATTGCCAGGATATAGTTTTTGCTTATTAAAAGAGAGCTGAGAGATACATTTGTTTTCCCATGAATGGCAATTGCTATAATGAATTCTGAAATGTGAAAGAAGAATATAGCAAAGATCATTTGCGATAGCTGCCTGCATGCCGGGTAGCTGAAAATTTCTGTCATTTTTTCCAAACTTATCAGACAAATCTTGCTTCAATTTTTTTTAAAAAAGATCTTGGGTAGCAAGTCAACTCAAAGGTGTGATAAATCACGTTTTGTTATTACTTCAGACCTGAAATGGTTGCAGACCAGCAAGATATTAGTGACATAAACTTGGGCTCGATATCACCATAAAGATGTTTTAGTAATGACATTTCCTGCAGAAAGAATAATGAGGAGATGGAAATTGTGTAAGAATATTTATATATGTAAAAGAAAGTTTTGACCTTTATAATTCTCAAGAACACAGCTACTTGATTTTCTTATTAAAAGTAGAAAATATCGAAATTCTTACATTAAGAGCTTGTTTGGTAGAAATTAGAATCGAATTAAAATTGAAAAACTAGCCGTTATTGTTGACTTTTATTAGATGAGTGAGACCCAATAACAGCTATATTTTCAATTTTAATTGGATTAAAATACATCCCAAACAAGCTCTAAGTTGTGCTGCCCGCTTTAAAGCCAGCTTATTACAATAAATTTCTCTAGCTTGCTTGATGCAGAATATGTCTTTCCCATTTTCATAATCGGATACCTTATTAATCAGAAGTGACCAAAGATCCAAAACTATAACTTCAATAGCCTAATCAATTTGTAATTCTCCGTCTATCGTTAAACGTTAGCCTATTCAAGATAACCATGGAACTAAGCTTTGAAAGTTGAATGAATTGGTATAATTGGTGCATATGCATCGATTGTTTCCATCGTCTTTTATTCTCTATGTGAGTTTGAGTTCCTTCGGTCTATTACTCAAAATATTAACAGTTTATACATAAGCACATTTCATAAATTTTTCATTTTTCTCTTCAAGGGAGACGTATCTTAAAGTGTGCAAGGAACCAATCCATTCATGAAGAACTCATATTCATCCCTTCTTCGCGTTCATAAGAGATGAGCCCCAAATATAAGCGTGCCTTGCTAGTCCCTAAAATATCCATACAAAGATTAAGATATATTTCTAACTTTTTACAAGTTTTAAATCAAACTAAATTGCACAACAATCAACAGAACGAGTGGAGCGTTCGTTGGATTCATCTTACAAGCACAATGCTACTTCATTAAATATTGTTATATTATGAAAAAAATAACCAAATTTCGCCAACAGCGGCAATGAATCAAGTGCCCAACGAATTTTAATATAGGGTTTATCTTTTAAGGGTTCGAAATTCAAGATCAAAGACAGCCAAACCCGTAATCCAATATGTGCAGACAAATAAACACGAGAAGATCGAAGTAAATATCCTAGCGAGATTATACAGGTTAAACTATGAACTCCCAAGTTAAAAGAGTTAACCCTAAGTGATAAAATAGTACCTAATTTTGTTGATGGAAGTAGCGCCGATGACCCTGACAACAGATTCAGTGGCTGAGACGGTGTCCGACGTTAGATTTATGCCGGCTTTCGACGTTGGCACAAATTTGGGGATATCAGTGTCAAACAAGGAAGTAGAACTGTAGTACCGCTCATAAAATGGGCTCAACTACAGGTGTCACAGGCTCGGCCCAGTGACCCACTAGGTCGGCTCGTGCTGTGACACCTCGGCCCATTGACCCACTAGCTCAGCTCTTGCTCCTCACGAGCCGAGCTCGTGGCTCGTTTGTAACGAGTCGAGCTTGGGAGCTCGACTCGTTACAAATACCCGAGCCGAGCTTTAGTTCGTGGTTCGGGTAATTTTTGTTTATATATTAATAAGATGTGCCTTTTTAGAAAAAAATGAATTTTTAGTCGAGTCCACGAGTCGAGCCGCTCGTGAAAAAACGAGTCGAGCTGGGCTCGGCTTGTGCTCGGGCTCGTAGCTCGGTGGCAAAGAGCTGAGCCCACGAGTCGACTCCGCTTGATTGCCACCACTAGGCTCAACTCAGGAAATTGGACTTGCAGATGGGGTTGGGCTCAACTTTTTAAACAATAGCCTTTTCACTTGAAGGTAGGGATAGCAAAAAAGCTCGTCCCTCAGCCGCCCCGGAAAGAGCCTCCAGTCGAGGCATTCTCGAGTTCGATTACACCAAGCCGAGGCTCGGGCAGAGCCCCATTTTGGGGAGTCGGCTCGAGCTCGTGCTGGCCCGTTGCCCGGGCAAGCATGCCCATTAATAAAAAAAATAATTAAAATTAATTTTTTTTTTTAAAATAGCTGCCTATGGGCAACAAGCTTCCTATATCCAGCTGCCTGTTGCAGCCTTTAAAAAAAATCCAAAAAACTCAAGCAGGCTCAACTCAGCCGGCTAAGGCTCGGGGCGAAAACTTGGATCGAACCTCATTTTTTGGCCGGGTTTTGCTCGGCTCGAGGTAGTTGGAGAAGTCTGTTTATAGTCTAGTGTTTTACAGCTTCTATATTTTAAAGAGGGCAGTGAACATTCAAATTTTTCTGGAAACCGAATAGAAATAAATGAAAATGACAGAATAGAAATAATTGATAGATGTGAAAGAAATTATTATTTGAGAAATATCCAAGCATCAAATGGGGGCAAAGTATAAATTCTTTGAAAATATGTCTCTATTATGGAATTGTATAATTTCTTTGTCCTTCGAGATCCTCCCACGACATTCAAAGGCAAAAAAGAAATATATCTTATTATTTTACCCTACATAATAAAAAGAGTGAGTTTGGGGGCACCATTCATAAGCCGTCAGCTCAGCTATTTTTTTATTTTTTGTAACAGCCGAGCCAAATGGCTAGGCTCGGCTAGCTTTGGTTTTTTTCTTTACAACCGAGCCAAATGGCTCGGCTCGGCTATTATTATTATTATTATTATTATTATTATTATTATTATTATTATTATTATTATTATTATTTATGATTTAGTATTTTAAGTTACAGATATTTTTTTTACGCGATTTAAAATTTGTTGAAAATATTGAAGTGCGGCCATGATAAATACATGATCGATAAATTTTAAATATCAAAATAATTTTACATTAATTGTGAAACGTAAAGTCGTGATTATTTATATTTTTTTTCAATCTCAACCTCATTTCGACGTCTTTCTTTCGAAATTTATTTTCAACTATTTAAAATTTATTCAAGAGTTTAAAGGACGACCATAATAAATATATGATTGATAAATTATACATAACAAAAATTATCTTGCATGAATTATTAAACATAAAATCAAGCTTTTCAATTTTCTTTTGAAATCTTGAAATGCGGCTATGATAAATATATGAGAATTATTGCTATCTTTTTATGGGAATTATTGCTATCCTTGTTTATAATTTACTCGCTTGCAAATTGTATAGAAATTTTTAGCTGAAGTAAATTGGAATTATATTTTTCTTTCAATTATTATGTCGAAAACAAATTAAGAGTTTTCTAATCAGAAATTTATTTTTATTTTTTCATTAAAGGAAAAAACACTTGCTACTCTGAAATGATCTTCTTTCTGTCACTTAATGATAGTTAATAATCTCCTGTGCTTGTTATTTGGAAGCATGTTACGAGATTTATTAGGATTTAGAATACGATATGTGATATTGATAAATATTCTGGATATATGCCTCTTAGATTTGATATTATTAATGCGACTATATTTCAATAATTATGCAATGTTATGGTAATAGTTTCAAAAGTGAGTACATGTTTTAATATTTGTACTTTCAGTTTACTGCTTTGACCAACAAGATTATGGTAAATCTCTTGAAATTTATGCTGTGATTTTTATGGTTGTAGACTTTCTTAATTTACTAATTTGGCTAACTTTATTGGGTCCATTAAAAATGGTAAATTTATGACGTTGGAATGAATATTGAAGGAACTCAATATTTTTCAGAAGAATCGTCCTACACCATACAGTGCTGGTAGACAAACATCTTCTATAAAGTGAATTATTTTGATTTTTCCTTTTACAACCACGCTATTAAGTAGCCAACTACGCTGATAATAATATTCAGCTGTCACATCATGTCACTTTCTAGTAATATATATAAAGTTTGTGCATCCCACCATGTTCACGAGTAACGAGTAAATCTTTATCGATTCTTAACACCTATCTAAAATTTTTATATTAGTAACAGTGTGATTCCTATAAAAATGTAATATATATTGAATAATGTAACATTGAATCCACTCTTACATAAACTCTGTTGACCATCAACGCAGTTGAATATCATTGACCAATTTTTAAGTCTATAAAGATTTCGCTCATATTTTGTTCTGATTAAGAAAAAGACGTGTAGAAAGGATACGGAAAACTCCCTGAGTACTTTTCCCAGAAAATTGACAGGATGCTGCCACAGCAGCATCTTGTCGGTCTGTGTTTTTATATATTTTTCCAAACTTTGCATCTGCGCCGTCCATTTCAAAATTCTGTAAAATTTCTGTAAATTTTTTCGGTACCTATAGACTAACTCCATACTACATAGATATTCATTCCCATGAGGGTCCCCACTGAGACATTTTGCAGCCCAACACCAAAGCCAATGAAAAAAACCTAATCAACAGCCGCATCATATTGTTTTCCAACAATAATAGCACAATCATAGTGAACGACAAGATATGAATCAAAAACCAAATCTAATATTTATTTTCTAATCCACATTTTTTCAATAAAATAATTTTATTTATAAAAATATAATTTTTCTTACTTTTTAAACATATATCATCCAAAAGAAATTAGTATCACAGAAATCAAAATATATTCTAAAAAATGACATTGAACTTGCTCTATATCAAATCCCTATTTAAATTACCATGTGTATAAAGTTTAGTGACCTCCCGGAACGTTACACAAAATTCAGTTACCAATTAAGAAATTAACATTAAATGATTATCGGGAACTTTTAAAGTTCAGTGACTAACGAAAAAGCTTCTTAAGTTCAATGACACCTTCAAAACCTTATTCAAAGTTCAACGACCAACCAGGTAATTAACTCTCATTTTTATTAAATTTTATGTTTTTTAGCCTTTTATTTTTTTGTACTCCTACTTACCAACTTTATTCTCTTTAGCATCACAAAATTTAGAAAATGAATAGTTTTGTCACGAAGTAACCGACAAAATTGTCTGTTGACCTCTTTAATATCAAAGAGGTAACATAGGTCTACGCAATCAACTATTTCAGAAGTGTGACCTCTTTAGATTTGATCACTTAATAATATTCAACTTTGAAATTTATACACATTTTCGGCTAAGAATTTAATAAATTTCTAGTTTTTATTCAGGTGTGTCCTCATAGAAAGACGATCGAAACCGAAACAACTCATAGAACTGCATGGATCTCTATTGCCTCTTTGATCTTAAAAAGGTTAATAGACGACCTTGTCGGTTAGATTTCATGGAACTGTGGATTTTTTATTTTTGGCGAACTCTATAGTGTCGTGTGACAGTTCCATGGTTTCAAACTCGAGTTACAACATAAATTACGTAATACGTCGTAGATGATCAACATTTCCATTCATAAGTATTAGGCTTTCTATGTTACAAAATATTGCGGTCTCCATTTTGATTATAGTTTATCAACATCAATTTCAGTTTTCATAATTAAAAAAATCGGTCTTGAATATCCTTGAAAATTGACAGTTTTCATAATTAAATAAGAAATTGCTGTAAACAGGATGCTCATTGATTATCTTGGCAATTATTGTACATTGCCCAAAAAGCAAAAGCAGAAACGCACAAATTAAGCAGTTTCTCTTTTCTACTTTTTTTTTTCAAAAAAAATTATTAATTTACACATCTTTTAAAATAGAGTATTAAAAAATAATCCAAAAAATATATATATAATCTCTTGTCTATAAATATTAATTAGCAGCAGATGGCAAAGGACTCTGAGACTACTTGATTGTAAATTACCATTGAAGAGGCTGCAGGGGGAGGAGGAGGAAGAAGGGTGCTGTTTCTGTCGATATGGAAGTTAATAATGGTGGCGGCGAGGGGTCGGACCTGCCGGAGTCTATCTCTTCTGTTATACCTGGCTGGTTCTCTGAGATTAGCACTCTGTGGCCTGGCAAGTTCCCACATCTCTGCATATACTTATATACGTATAATATTCAGGAATCGATTTGCTCTATTGAGTTTTTGGGCACTCGTGTATGTAATTATGATTATTTATGTATGAGTGAATGAAATTGTAAGTATAAATTTATTTTAAATGGTTTTGTTAAAGCTTTTATTAGATTTGATAAATTCAAGTTGGTGAATCAATTATTTGAATGTGTTTTGAATTTAATATTTATGCATCTAAACAAGGCTGTTGCTTCCTTTTTTTTTTCTCAATTTGTAGAATGGTGGTATTAAGCAATGATTCTATCAGTACTATTTAATGTGTAGTTGCTAGAAAGGATATCAAACTTTGCTTTTTAATATTTTAGGTGTAGTATTAGATTTTTTTTGAGAAAAATTCATAGTGATAATACAAATTATGCCCCTGTTTGGGCCACATTATTTTTCTTATTCTCATTCTTCTACTCATTTTCAACCACACATTCTTCAATAAAATAATACTTTTCATCACATCAATAACTTTTCCTTCTTTTTCAACCACATATTCTCTATCACATCACTTCAAAAAAATGCATTCTCTCATTTTAATGTGTACCAAACGGGCTCATATGTGGTTCTTCAATGTCATATAGTTTTTTTACTGAAGTTTAAAAGATTAATTAATTTGGGTCATTAAAGTTTTGAATTTTGCAATTAAGCCCCTGTTTGGTACACATTAAAATTTTCATTCTCATTCTTCTACTCATTTTCAACCACACATTTTTCAATAAAATAATACTTTTCATCACATCAATAATTTTTCCTTCTTTTTCAACTACATATTCTCTATCACATCACTTCAAAAAAATGCATTCTCTCATTTTAATGTGTACCAAACGGGCTCATATGTGGTTCTTCAATGTCATATAGTTTTTTTTCATAATTTCGGGAAGGAGAACTTTGATTCATAATAAATGGATGCGTGTATGTATAGAAATAGATTTGGAATACATGTTCACACCAGCACGGTGTGAATTTTATATTCTGCAACATGTCACTTATATGTCTTTCCTTTCACATTTAATTGTTAGCGTCGTGTTAATCCGTTTTCAGTTTCTGCAAGATGTTTTATCCAAATTATGTAGTCAGCTGTAATGATATTGCTTAAAGAAATACTTGCTATAACTATGGTATTTAATTCATTGAAGAATAGAGACTTATCCAATATATTGGCAAGTTTGGCTTCTCTACCCCTTACCCTCTTTCTAGCTAACATTAAATTATCAAGGAAAAGGGAAACCTACATACATGGCCGGGATTTGGGGAGAGGGAGTGAAAGAAAAACTACCAAAAGTAGTGATGATTGTTTCAAAAGCAGTGATTTTATTTTTTTAACATAATTCAGAAACCACTTTCTGTTCAATAGTTATGACACTAAATGGGTTGCGTTGGTGGAAATCATGCAGGAGAAGCTCATTCACTAAAAGTAGAGAAGTTATTATTCCACGGGAAGTCTGATTACCAGAATATCACGGTGTTTCAGGTATTCAATAGCCTTAAAATTTAAAGTCCTTCAGATTTATTCTTAACATATGAATAATTTTGTGTTTTTAATTGCGTAAAACATTGGTTTATTTTTGCTGCAGTCATCAACTTATGGAAAGGTTCTCGTCTTGGATGGTGTAATTCAACTCACCGAGAGAGATGAATGCGCTTATCAAGAGATGATTACTCATCTCCCACTTTGCTCAATTCCGAATCCAAAGAAGGTATTTACGGTCTAATGATCTTTAACATGAAAGATCAGAGGACCAAACTACTAGCGGGGTTAATATGTAAAAAAACAAAAAATTACACGTAATTTTTTTTTTTACACCAAAAAAATGAAATGGGCTGGGGATTGGACCGGGCTATGGCCCGGCATAGTCCCCCCCTACATCTGTCCCTGGTCACAATGCCATTCATAGTTTTTGTACCTGGTATTTGCTTGATCTCTGTGTAGATTTCTAAAAGAAAGATTCGGTGAACCATTGGTGGCTCTCTGTTCTACTAATTTAAAATAATTCTTTTAACATTATTTTTACTTTCAGGTTCTGGTTATTGGAGGAGGAGATGGTGGTGTCTTACGTGAAGTGGCTCGACATTCTTCTATTGAGAAGATAGACATCTGTGAGATTGACAAGATGGTCGTTGATGTGAGTTAGTCATTTTTTTGCCTTGTTTCATTTAATTTTGTATTCCTCTTCCTATAGATTTCTGTGGACATTGCATGTTTACTCTTTGCTTATATTTGTCTCTTCTGATTCCGCTAACGTTGCTATTTATGGTCTACAATAACTCTGAACTGCATTTTGCATGGATTCTCATGATCTTAAGTTTTGAGATTTTCGAACAATCTACTTGAAGCTATTTGACAGTACTGATCTACTGTCCTCACAGGTTTCCCAACATTTTTTTCCCAGTGTAGCTGTGGGTTTTGAGGATCCCCGTGTAACACTTCACATTGGCGATGGTAATGTCCGCTCAAATTATTCTCTCTCTTCTCTTTCTTCCATTGCCTTTATCTGCCTTCTTTTAAGTAGAATTTTTAACTTCATTGAATTCATAACCTTGCAGGAGTTGCATTTTTGAAGGCCGCTCCTGAAGGAACTTATGATGCCATTATAGTGGATTCTTCTGATCCCATCGGTAATAATTTGTTACGAACCAAGGTCTTTCCAGTTACTCCTTTGAAACTCGAATGTTCACTGTGTGTTTTACATGACTTAGGTCCAGCTCGGGAGTTATTTGAAAAACCTTTCTTTGAGTCACTAGCGAAAGCTCTTCGTCCTGGAGGTGTTATGTGTACTCAGGCTGAAAGCATATGGCTTCACATGCACATTATTGAAAATATTGTTGCAAACTGCCGCCAGATTTTCAAAGGCTGTGTTGACTATGCCTGGACCACAGTCCCAACTTATCCAAGGTATTCTCTTTTGCTCTTTTTCTCATAGACAAACAGCATTCAGCATGCATATGGAGGCAATACTTCATTTTTCTTTTTTTATTATTATTTATAAATTTTTCCCCACTTGTATTTTTCGCCCTTCCCCACCTTTCATATGGGGGTCGGGTTGGGGGTTCCAACAGTTCAATTACCTCTTCTTACATATCGATTAACCTTAATTTTATAGTTTCAAATACTGCTAATCTCGTATGAGAACTACTATCGTGATAAACTCATGCATGTGTGTCAATTGACTTGGTTTTGTGCCACATCATTAACCTTGTTTCTCTATTTTGTTGTTCAATCTCCTTTTAGTGGTGTTATTGGGTTCATGCTATGTGCTACGGAGGGTCCTGCAGTAGATTTTAAACATTCAATCAACCCAATAGATGCCGATGATAGTCATGTCAAAACAAAGGGACCCTTGAAGTTCTACAACTCCGAGGTATGGCATTACATCTTATGGTTTCTCTTTGTCGTTCCTCTTGTTATTTGCTTCAAATAAGTTTTGCTCTCTACTCTTCTCAGATCCACTCTGCGGCTTTCTGCTTACCCTCATTTGCTAGAAAGGTAATCGATTCAACGGCTAAATGAAGTAGTTTCGCAGAGCAATTAAGGGAGTAGAATTCGTGCTTTTGTATGGCTCCTTGCCTAGTCATTTAAATGCCTCGCGTGGCCCTTCACAAAGGAAGTGGTCGAGGTTTGAACTAGTTCTTTAAAATTTGTTAAATGAGGAATTCTATTAATGGTCATTGAATCTTCATATGATGTTTTTCGATTTTGTTATGTTAGGCAAAATATTTCTCGCTTTACCTGAATATAAAATATTTTTACATACCCATGCTATGCATGTATTATTCTTTTAGAATCGAATGGGTGAAGAAACCGAATTACAGAAATGGCTCACCTAAACTTTGGAGGCTAATATTGGACTATGATGTACTCTTTTTTAGGAAAAATTCATAAATAAGGTGTTTAGTTTACACCAATTCAAAAATCATGTTTATAGTTTGAAAATTCAAAAATCAAATTTTTTTTTTTTAAATTCTAATATAATATAATATAATAAACTCATCCCACAGGCACCACTCCTACCGCTCCGGTGACTATTCCGATTGTCGCTCTTTTCCGGTGACCATTTCGGCGACTGCACCGATTTCGACGACCATTCCGGCACTATTCCGGTCACAGATTTATAATTTAATTAGTCACATTATTTTTCAATCACAAATAATAATTGTTATATGTTACAGATTATTTTATGGTTACAATTCAAAAAATTCGTAGGTCACATTTAATTCGTTGGTCACAGATTTCAAAATTAGTTGGTCACAGATCAAAATTTATAGATCATACGGTCACAGATTTCTAAATTAATTGGTTACAGATTTTTTACGGTTACAGATTATATAATTTTTAGGTCACAAATAACAAATTGGTTAGTCACGGATAATATTTTTAGTCACATATTACCTAATTTTAAGGTCACATATTATATTTTTGGTCACAAAATCAAAATCATCAAATCCGCTAGATCCACCACCACCTCTGCAGTGTCGCCACGACCACTACCACCGCCTCCACGACAACCGCTACGACCAACATCACCACCATCCAAACACCACGACAACTAGCCAGTAGTAACACCGTCAAGTCCTCCAGTATCGGCCACGACAACCAGCCAAGTCCTCCAGTACCAGGCTACCAGCATATAGCAACAAAACCACGTTACAAAAACAGACGTAGGAACCATTTACAAACTGATTTTAAGATCCATTAGCTGGTAATGGAGATTCCTCGATTTTAATGTCTTTAACCCCATCAATTAAAGATGATGAATCGCACCTTTTGTCTTCGGCCCAGTCCTCAAGCTCGTCTTCAACGAGCGAGCCCTTTCTACGATGTTCTTTTAACTTGATAGAATGAATCTTTTGTCCAAAAACCTCCACCCCCATCGCCAATACCTCCACCACCGCCAGAACCTCAAGCCCTGTCGTCATTACCTAGATCCACCGCACTAGATTCACGACCACACCATATCACACTTGACTGGAGTCAATGTCACAACAGCCCTCGCCGTAGTGAGCAAAGAGAAGGATGTCATGAATCACCCGACCTGTGTACCAGCGAAACCAAAGATCTGCAAGTATAGGCGCCAGGGTTTGTTAGATCTGGTGGTGGCGTTGCCGACGCTGGCCTTCTTTCCGATGGGCAATTTAGGAGAGAGGAGGGAGAGAAATTGGGTGAGTAGTGAGAGAAAATGAATTACGGTTTATTTGAAATATTAGTATTATAATATTATTTAAATTGACAAAATATCCAATTAATATCTGATTTTTGATTAAATAAATTTCATCCTGAATTTTGAATTTGAAAGTTTAAGTACCTGATTTTATGTAATTTTCCCCTCTTTTTTCAGTGTTGTCCATGGGAGTACAATCTCCTTCAATATATTGGGCCTGTAAGTCGACTCTGTATTGGACCAGAACCAATCGACCAAGTAGTTTGAGCCATAGTTGGCCTTTTTATGCAACCTGGCCTAGATTGATTATGGGCTAACTTAGGTCCAAGTCCATCATTTTATAAATACTCTTCGGAGGACAATTCTCTCACTATAAATTTAGAAAGACGAAATGAGTAAATTTCTCGTGCTCCTTGGATTCACGTCTCATTTTTCTCGACAGGGCACGAGCAAGCTCTAAGTTATGTTTGGCACGTTGGATAAAATATGATGACGGACAAATAATTTACATGCATTTGTTGTTCAATCGTGTCACGTATAAAAAAATCGTCCTCAAATCAATGCATGTAATGGTTAAATAGTGACTCGGGGAATGTATTAAGACATTTAGTTGTTTCTCAGGTTGTTAAAAGAATGTGTTAGATCAACTCGTTTTTAGAAAATCGAGACGTGTACTCCCCATGTTTATGGAGAAAATGATGTAGTTATAAATCAATATAAATTAGTGATTGATAAATGAGTCAACAAACGCAGCTCCAATTTAGAACAAATATTCTCCAACCAACCAAATTTCCCCACTAGAAATTGGGAATACCATGTGAAGATGGGACTTCTGCACAATCAATGCCATTTAGCTACAAAATAAAGTCAAACATTCTTCGCCAAGTGGAATGAATTTCCAATTACTTCTACTATAAGCTCACTTTCCATATATTTTCTCGGAATTTCAAACCAGCATTATATGCAATTTCATTCCCCCAAAAGTCAACAACAAATGGATCCTCTAATGATTAATTCCCCACCCTTTGTTACTTTCATTTATATAATATTTTCAATCTCTCTACACTTCTCTCTATTGTATGGAGCAATGGCTTTTGTGAGAAACCTCCAGATTTAAGGCCTCACACCATTTGTCAATGTCATGCAGGTCGAAAGAATAATGTTATTTAGCATCACAGGCGTTATAACACTAATTTAGATGGCGTTATGTGATAGACTTAATGGAAGTTGAAATTAAGTGACTTATTTAATTGTACTTCTCATTGAATGTTACATTAGTGTCACCTAAACTGGTATCATTGAATGTTACTCAGGTTGAAATAGTATTTAGACTAATGTTATGATTACGGTTCAATTTTACTTAGCTAGACTTTTTCCTACCAATGCCCAACTTCTTATATTTTGGCACCTTTAATTGGTTTATTTAATAAAGAAAATTGAATTATGGTCGCTATCCTTGAAAAGGAACCCACAACATATGGGCATATCTTCATTATTATTTATTGTTTTTCGTTGCTTCAACGACTCTAATGGTTGGAAAAGACTTTCTTTTGGCCGGTCCCCAACTCTTTTTGGATGAACATGAATTAGTCTTAGAAATATTGATTGAATTTTTAACTTAAAAGTGGGTTATTATTATCGTTTTATTTTTGTCAAATAGATAAATTTTTAACTCGATATTGACATCTATCTTGTATGAGTTGAACAAATCGATGTTGGCTCGAGCACTAAATATGACCTTATCTAATTGTCTTTAAAGTATGTTATGCATGTTTGAATAAAGCCTATAGCTTAAGAACAAACTTCATTTGTGGCCAAAATTGTGCATAGTCAGCACGACTGAAACCCATAGCTTAACTACAAAAAGCTACCTAAGTTGAACTTACTTTCAAATAAAAAATCGTGACTTACCGATTAAAAAATGTGGACTTTTGTGCCTAACATGTTTATTGTCTTGAATTTTAATTAACTTAACTAGGTATTTCTACCATGTTATGACATTGTTGAGTGATTGATCTCAATGTTACTATTTCAAGCTCGACATATTGTACTCATAAGTTACGTGAAGATTATGAAATACTTGTCACATTAGATCTTCAAGTCTTACGATGACACATGCATGATTAATGAAGCATATGCCCTTGGGCATTTTGACCAATGAAAGAATGTGGGATAAACTTCATCGTCGATGAGAACAACATGAATGATCAATTAATGTTCCTAAACGATTAAAAAGTGATAAATGAGATATGAATGCAGGGACAATTAAAATATTTACTTAAAAATAGTAGCCGATTCTCTAATTCTAAAATTTAGCCCCTGTTTGTCTCCCATTATGGGAGAGAGAATAGAGTTTTGAATAATATTTCTTGGGGAATGAGTGGTTAAAATTTAAAGAAATATTATTCATCCCCACTGGGGATGTATCCCCAATCTAGTTATCTGATTTCAAATGATCAATGAAGCCCTTGTTTGATTACCGTTTATAAACTATTTATGATAGATCAAATTATTCCTTATTCACATAATTAATGAGATGAATAAATACTATACATTAATCGTTTTCATCCATTTATATTTTAAGTTGATTAGAGATCCCTCTCAAATCCCAAACATGCTTTAAATTTTTGGAGGGTGAAAAGCAAAATGATAAAAAGAAGATGGAAAATAAGTAAGGAAACGCTACTTTAGATAAAAAGAACATTCAAGAAAAAGTGGGCCCCATACTGGGCTTTGGATAGGGATGAAGCCCGATCCCTCCTTTCATCAGCCCACGCGCTATCTTTTCAGAAGCTGCCGTAAAATACGGCCTTTTCCCATAAAGTCGGGCCCACAAATCCTATACATACAACTCGCACTATATCTATATATTTTATCCTCTACCAAATTCAATGTTTCTCGCGTGCCAGCCAATCCAACGAGATATTGAGGACAAGTGTGGAATTGATTGGCTTTAACCCTCGCGGGTCCCGCAAAGTTAGGTCGGCGGTTTGGCCCGACCCGTACGTACGATGTGACAGGACAGTGGATGGACGAGGAAAATAGAAATTGCATCAAAATATCCTTTTCATGTCGCCATGATAATTATCCACTTGGAGAAAACGGTAAAAATAGTGGCCTTCATTTCTTTGCGAAATTACGATAATGCCACTACCCAGCCTTTTTTTTGTGGATTTTGATTTTTTATCCGGATATGTGACTTGGTTTAGAACACAATCACACATTATGTGAATATTTAAAACGTATGATTAATTTATTATGCGCCTTATATAAATAATTCATGACTTCTTATTGTCGGCACGATTAAGTAATGAACTTGTGTTTTAGAGTGTGTTTAGTAGAGATTAAAATTGAAAAACTAGTCATTATTCTTGACTTTTATTAGACGAGTGAGATCCAATAGAGATGGCAATGGGGCGGGTTCGGGGAGGAGCACCATCGTCCCACCCCATCCCATCCCATCCCGCCCCGTCCCGTGCCCCACCCCACCTTAGACGGGGCGAGAACTTGCCCCGTTTCCTACCCCGTTTATTTATTTTTTTTTTTCAAAAACTTCCAATTAACTATTTTTTTATTTTTAATTTGTAGTTAATTATTTTTTTTATTTTTCACGTAGCCGGTTCGGGGCGCTTCGGGGCGGGGCACCCCCTCCCCGCCCCGCTCCACCACACCAACCTAGCTGGGCGGGGCGGCGTCGAGGCAGGGTGGGGCGGGTTTTTTTGCCATCACTAGGACCCAATAACGACTATATTTTCAATTTTAATTGAATTATTAGTGTTACCAAACAGGCTCTAATGTCGTTGTGATTGAACATTTATATATTAAAATTATTGTCGTTCACAGTTGTATAAATTATTAAGCAGTTTATCGATTTTTGTTACACCTTAGTTTCAACATAATTTGAGGACAAATAATTGAAGGCTTATCCTCACCTCATATAGCACATTCCAACTATTTTGAACCAATGATTTTTCGTCAAACTATATAAAGGTACGAAAATTTGGCAAACGACTATTTGAATTTAATATCAAAGTGCTTTCAATCGGTATTCCCTCCTTCGATAATTTTGAGGCCGACACAAAGTAATTGCAAATTGTTACCAACCCCAATGCTATTGTGGTTGGAACTTAATTAGGGAGGCAGGAACTTGTAACCATTTGCTGGATCTTAGCTGTATTGCTAAGGCAACTTGAATGAACTATTAGGTTGATTTGGTGGGCAGCACTGAAAGGTTAAGCCACCTTTGATCCCAATTTTTTAATATTTATAGTGTGTTTTGACTGCATTTTTTTCATGAAAAATGTCAATTTTCCTCAAAATTAGGAAAATATTTTCCTTTTTAGGATATATTTTCCATGTGCCAATGTTTTCCATGAAAAATGTGTTTTTTTCCATCCAAATTCATACTTTCGTGTTGTTTGATTGACGTTTTTTTCATGGAAAACATTTTCCTACTTTTGGTTACGTGATCATATTTTTCTCGAAATCAAGGAAAATATTTCTTTAGCAGGAGTAGGATTTTATTTTTCAGGGAATTCACCCACTCTCTCTTTCTCTCTCTTATCTCTCATCTACCTAACAATAAAAAAATAGATAATTATAATATTTTTTAGGTTGAAAATCAAATCAATCAAACATATTTATTTTCATACAAAAAAGTTCTAAAGAATTGAACTGCCTAGAATTTATTTTCTTTACATGCAAAATTTATACTTGCAATCAAATACACCATTAATATTTTTCAAATTTATTTTCAACCAAATGAAATCCACATTTTTTTATTACTTTTTTAACAAAATATTTTATCAACTTTTATTAAAATTTACTAAAAAATTAGATTTTTAGCAAAACAAATCAGGAACTAATTTGGTAGGATAAGAAATTATGTGAGTGCGTGCCAATGGAAATAAATTTGCATGAGTGGAAATAAATGTAATTACGAGAATTTTTTTTAATGCACAGCCTGTATTGGGCTGTTATTTATTGTTTTGTGATATTAAATTAAAAATGTCTATTAAAAGGTTTCATTTCACCTATTTATTGCAACTATCTCTATTCGAAGTACCAATATAGCTCATCGTGGGTTCGTTGAAATAAAGTGCCACACTGTAGTTTTGAAATATCTAGTTCTTGTTCGACCCATTATTTTTAAAATACATTTCTCTCTTATTTTCAATTACACATTTTTCAATAAAAAATATTACATGAAAAATATTACATGTAAACTCAATTTTTTTTATTATTTTTTAACTACACATTTTTCATCAAAATAATATTCTAAAATGCATTTTGCCCAAAAAATGTGTTTCAAACAGGCTTTAATTAAATATTTTCTTAGAAATAATGATGAACCAAAATGTAAAATAACGATTAGTTAGGTACTCTTAAATTTATTAAGAATCAAAATCTTGTTAGGTGTTGATGCTACCAAAAATTGCACATGGTCAATTCCAAGCTTGAAGACTGATAACTTGTATGAACGCGATCTTTCGGTACCTGAAACAAATGCATCGATGTGTGTCCTCGCTGCCCCTCCGATACTTAAGTCAGAGAGAGGATAGAGAGAAAATATGTGTTGAAAATATATGTAAAAACGTACCTGAATAATGGATGAGAATGATGTATTTATAGAGGTAGGTAATGTAGTTCTAGAAGGACTCATCCCCTTATCTTTTGGAGTGACTATAGGGTTTTGTGTTAGGACGTCATTAGGAGTCCTAACTTTCGTTTCTGGGTGTTGCCTAAGACAGGACTCTTTTGCAACTTAGGATCCTTCAGTTGGGATGATTGGATATGGCTATAGTCCTTATGATGTGAGAAGTACCAGTGTTCAATCAGAGGACACATTGGGAAATTGGTCAAGGTAAATCCCCGACCTTTACATACCCGAAGACGACCTCATACAACTTTGCAGGTATAACATGATGGTCCTCAAGATATGTATCTCGAGGAACATCTTGAACCCGAGGACTAAGGCCTCAAAATTGGGCATGGGAGGGCTCTCTGACAGTGATCGAGCTCGAGCTTCCGTAACGACCACATTATGCCCCCGTTTGGCACCCATTAATTTCTCATTCTCATTCTCATTCTCATTCTTCATTTCAACCACACATTCTTCAAATAAAATAATTTACACACAAATTAAAAACTTTTCATCACTTTTCCACCACACATTCTCACATCAATCACTATTCCAAAATTTCTATTCTCCTCAAAATTAGATTCAAACACACCCCTAGGTGTCATGGGTAGTTGGGGAAAATTTTTGTATTAACAAACTTTATAATTTTGAAGCCACCCAAAAAAGAAAAAAAAAAATAGGCCATGTTTGATATCTTTCATTTTTCATAGAACTTGGAAATCATTTCCCATTTTCCATCTTTTATAGTGTTTGATAGGCAAAATTTTCCTCGAAATTGATTTTCCTCCCAACCCTCACGTGGCCTCCTTTTCTTGGTTTTCATTGAATTTGTTTCCCCACCACTTTGGTGGGAAAATGGTTTTCCACATTTCGTTTTATTTTTTAGTAATGAAAATAAATTATATCTCAAATTGTAACAAATTATATCATTTTAATTGATAATTTTCATGTAAAACAAAGGCAAACGAACACCAAAAGATCTAAAATTTCAATATTTTCCACGTGAAAAATTATACTAATCAAATACAATTAATTGACAATTTTCAAGAAAAACAATTCTAGGCAATTCAATTCCCTAAAATTAATTTTCTTTTCACCCAAATTCCACTCTTACAATCAAAACGACCCTTATAGAATTATAAATCCATGTCCAATTGTTCACAACCTGACACTCCATACGATCTTGAGATGGCAGGCCGTGCCGGAGCTAGCCCACCACTAGAGCCATATCAAACCTAGCTTTACATGTCTAAGCGTGCTCAAGTTTGCTCGATATTGACCTTTTATTTATAAAAAAACAAATTTGAAAGGGAAAATTATGCTGGAAATTCAAAACTTCAAGATTCTTCTAGTGTAGAGTCCGAAGATAAAAAGTGCACAAAAATATGTTGGGCCACGGCCAAGTCATTCTAGGCATGCCGAGTCAACTACAGAATCGGCTTTTGAGATAAGTTCCGCGTGGTACATTGTCCGCTGCCTTTCGAGTGGGATAGTAATGAAATGTCATTTTCTTTCCTCTTTTCCTCCATACAAAGTTATGTATCTATTCCCAAATTAATCTCCGCTTCAAAACCATGTTGATAGCAAGGAAAAAACTCATTTTTTTGGTGAATCAACGCAAGTTTTTTCTTCCTACTTTTAGCAATCTAAACCTTTAAATGTTTGGTTTAATTTTCTTCAAATTTTCAAAGAGGAAGCCATACTAAATTTACGACTCATTAATTTATGTATTGCACGTCGAAAATGCAGATAAGGCGTTGAAGGCCATTCAATTCGGACATTGTTATTTTTGTTTTTTATTTCATTTAAAAAATTACAAAATGATCTGGGTGGATTTTTTCACACCAAACTCTTCGAATTGAGCTACTCCACATCTTTCACGGTTGTGACAGATAATCGAATAAAATTAAATTAATTCGCTCAACGAGCATTACCAATAGGAGATCTCGAATCTTTCTCCATTTAAAAAAAAATGAAAAATCTCAGTCTTATAATGAATAATTTGCTAATGGCAATAAAATAATTTATTTGGCTCCCAATCATGATCGTTGTAGATAAAAAGGATTTATATTAAATTATTTTATTATTTATTTATTTGTCTTGGAGTCAAAATTAAACAGCCATAGGGAAGCACTATAGAGTGCTTATCTACATTTGACCTAAATTATCCAATTAAATATGAATGTATTACTCGCACACTTTCAATAAATAAGAGCTGAAAACGAAATGTCAAGAGGATAATATTTTTTATTAAGACTAATCAAGACTTTTATAACATCTAATGTAAAATTATTTGGAGATTAGGTGAACATAAAATACCCTCACCAATATTAATATTTACCACAATAATTTCTCGATATTTGGTAAGTTACTCGTAATCTCACTACTTATTTCGTCTAGTCTAAATTTATAAATAAACTAAACTTACTTATAAATTACTTTTAATTAGATCGATATTTAAAGAGGTTAAAAATGAACAAAGGTGATTAGACGTATAAATTAAGTTGAGTCGTATGAATATACAAAAAAATATCGAAAATGTATATTGCGATCTATCACCTCACGAACAATTAATGCATATTCGCATATGCAGTATCAACATGATTTTGATAGAGAAATTTAACTTTTTTTTTCTAGTTATTGTCAAGTGCTATACGATCCTTCTACGACCATGAAATTATTGAAGTACACGTCAAAAAGAATTCAATTTGGAATGCTATTGAAATTTTATTCAAGTTGAAACTCTATTTGGAAGCTCTATTGTGTGTTGGAATTTATATTGGATTTGAAGGGGTGGACTAGGAAGTAAAGTCACCGTATTTTCGCTAGCCTACCACTAGCCGCTTGAGCAACACCTGGAGGTTTTCTCCCAAGACTTGGTCCCTCGTCGTCGCCTGCCGGCCCTCAGGCGATAGACCTATCTCTAGCTTATCGCTCCAGCGACGAGGTTATCCGACTCAGGCTCTTTTCACGTTATAACAAGTTTATGACATTCTAATTCAACTACAACTCATCTATTAGGATTTGGACGTCGCACTACATAGTTGTCTATATATAATTGGTTCTTCTTTACAATTTTATGATGTGAGAATGGTGTGAGAAAAATGATTACTAGTTTTTCGGATCATTGTAATATTTCTCCATCTTCATTATTTGTGGTGCAATAAAATCTCCTAATTCTTCTGCCATATTTTCTTGTCTTTTTTTATTATTTTGTCTACGATCATATACTTCATATTTTACAATATAACTTCAACATCTCAATCTGGTGATCGGTTCATATCAAGTGCTATCGAGCAATACATGATTCTTGAATTTTCAACAATTGATATAAGAAATTTTGAACATAATTAACACAATAGAATGTGGGAAAATAATTAAAATAAATGAAAAATAAGTAGAGTACCAAAACACAATTTTGAATTGGTTAAAAAAGGTCAATAAGGGCGGCATCGCAATAAAATCGAAAGCCAGGTGTTAATGAATCCGAAATCAGGGTTCGTTGAAACTAACTGTAGTGAAGTTCCTTCGTCTTTATCCTCTGCTTCTTGCACATTTTCTTTAAAATGCTCAACATCTTTAACTACTTGTACTCCACCCTTCAATGATTGTACTGTTGGCATTTTTGTAATTAATATATACCTCTCCCATCTCTCACTCTCTCTAAACACATTGAATCCATCTTTTCCTCTCTCTAGAAAAATCTGAAACAATTCTCATCTTTAGAGATACAAACGATTGTGTAACGGTTCGTTATCTGCAACTTTTCTCTCTCTAGAAAACGAGTATATCGGTGCTGACGTTAGCAGCATTTCCCAATTGCCGGCGTCTTCTCAGGTTTTTGTTTACTGAAATCTCTGTTAATTGCTTAAAATTATACGCGAAAATAGACTTCGATAGAATAGTCACAGACTCACAAAATGTTCTGTTTTTCGGGTTTTCTTGCAGTTTTTTAGTAATTGAAATGGATTATTGAAGTGAGATTTTTTATTTCTATGGAATAAAAGGAGTTTGCTGTTTTTTAGCTTACGGATGAAAGCTTGATAATTAATTCGTGATCTTTCTCATCTCTTGTTAAAGTGATTTTGATGCTTTTATGACCTCTGTTATCATACCGGTATATATGGTTTTTTATCGAGTTCTAGGTAAGTAGTCGGTTTTAAGACTTTTGTGGCAATTTTGCTATTTTTGTTGTATGTGTGGGATTGAATTTTATGCTGAGTTTAGCAAGCATAAAACCTTAGCTATGTTGTTTTGTTAAAATTTTTTTAGTAAAATCTTTTGCAGTCACTGGTTCGACGTACTGCTCTCTTGCTTGTCATTACTTTGCTTTTTTAATGCTTTAACAAGAAAATGAAAATCCCGTGATGATGATCTGTTAACAACTTGAGTGTAAGGTAAAGAAGAAAAACTAGTATCTGTTAACGCGTTATATGAGGAAGGTTGACAACAGTAATGTGCCTTTTCTTCATGTATGTCGTGTATCACTTTGTAGTAGTTAAGATTTTGCTGCAAAATAAAAGAACTTACTCCTGATATTGTAAGGCATTTTTGGCCATAGAACAATAAAAGGCTTTAGTTGAGAGCATTAGAGCTGAATATTGAATTATGGCGTCGGCCTTTTTTCTCGAATCATGCTAAAGTACACGGTTTGCTTTGCTGTATGTTGGCCACTTATTTAGACCTACTTCTGATATTATAAGGTCTTCGCTCACCTGAAACATGAAAAGTTCATTTTCTTGGCTTGGCTATACTCACATTAAATCTATCAAAAAATGTTGCAAGTGTTTACTTGCATTCTCCTAGCTTGCTTTAATATCCAGATCAACCACATCTTTTCTTTCTTTTTGCTTTTTCCAAAGTATCTGGAAGTTCAATGTACTTTATGATTGTATGATTAGCTTGGATGACTTTCCAGAAAGAATATTTGATGCCAGTTGGATATTCTAAGAGAGATTGTGAAGTGAATTTCCTCTTTTTTTGTGCAGGCTTGTGTATATATTTATTATAGCATAGTTTGTGCAGATAATTACCCTGGACGTGTAGTTTCCAATAAATTAGTAATCGTATTAGCAGTCATGGGATCAAGATCATGTGGAAACTTCTTGGACTTGGTTTCTGGAGAATTACTAGATATCCCCCAAACTCCTAGAGCTCTTCCGAGAGTGATGACTATTCCTGGAATCATATCTGATAGTAATGCGAGTGGTGATGGAGATTCAGATAGCATGTCATCTATTTTCCGAGACCGAAAAATTGTAGTGGCAAACATGTTACCTTTGCATGCTCAAAGGGATAGTGAAACTGCTAAATGGTGCTTCAGTTTGGATGAGGATTCACTTCTGTTACAATTGAAGGATGGGTTTCCACCCGAGACTGAGGTTATATATGTAGGATCTCTCAAGGTTGAGATAGAAGCTAGTGAACAGGAAGAAATTTCACAGAAACTTCTGGATGACTTCAAATGTGTACCCACTTTTCTGCCTCACGATATCCAGAAAAAGTTTTATCATGGTTTCTGCAAGCAACAGCTTTGGCCTCTTTTCCATTACATGCTACCTATGTGCCCAGACCATGGAGATCGCTTTGACCGGCAGCTTTGGCAGGCCTATGTTCATGCAAATAAAATATTTGCTGATAAAGTCATGGAAATTGTTAATCCTGAAGATGATTTTATCTGGGTTCATGATTACCACCTCATGGTGCTCCCTACATTTCTACGAAAGTCTTATAATCGAGTCAAGCTTGGGTTTTTTCTTCACAGCCCATTTCCGTCATCAGAGATATACAGAACTCTGCCTGTTAGGGATGAAATCCTGAAAGGGTTATTAAATTGTGATTTAATTGGTTTCCACACATTTGACTACGCTCGACACTTCCTATCCTGCTGTAGTAGAATGTTGGGCTTGGACTATGAATCTAAAAGAGGGCACATTGGACTTGATTACTTCGGCCGTACTGTGTACATTAAAATTCTGCCAGTAGGTATTCACATGGGTAGACTAGAATCTGTATTAAATCTTCCTTCTACTTGCGATATGGTCAAAGAGATTCAAGAACAGTTCAAGGACAAGAAATTGATTCTTGGAATTGATGATATGGACATATTTAAAGGTATCAGTCTGAAATTGCTAGCTTTTGAACAGCTCTTGCAGCAGCATCAGGAGTTGCAGGGAAAACTAGTGTTGGTTCAAATAGTGAATCCTGCAAGGAGCGTAGGAAAAGATGTTCAGGAAGCAAAGAAGGAAACATATTCTACCGCAAAAAGAATTAATGAAGTTTTTGGCTGCCCTGATTATGAACCCGTGATATTAATTGATCGACCAGTTCCTCGCTATGAGAAAACTGCCTACTATGCCATGGCAGAATGTTGCATTGTGAATGCAGTTAGAGATGGAATGAACTTGGTTCCTTATAAGTATATAGTGTGCAGGCAGGGCTCTTCTCTTATGGATGAAGCCTTAGATGTCAGTATGGATTCTCCTCGGACTAGCATGCTAGTAGTGTCGGAGTTCATTGGTTGTTCTCCGTCTTTAAGTGGAGCAATTAGAGTAAACCCATGGGATATCGATTCTGTTGCTGAGGCCATTTATTTGGCCATTACCATGCCTGATACAGAAAAGCAACTTCGTCATGAGAAACACTACCGCTACGTTAGTTCTCACGATGTTGCTTATTGGGCTCGCAGCTTCACACAGGATTTGGAGAGAGCATGCAAGGATCATTATGATAAGCGTTGCTGGGGCATTGGTCTGGGCCTGGGTTTCAGAGTTCTATCACTTTCCCCAAGTTTTAGAAAGTTACGTATCGATCACATTGTCTCGGCGTATGCAAAAACAAACAGAAGGGCAATTTTCCTAGACTACGATGGTACCATTGTATCGTATTCCTCCATTGTTAGATCTCCTAGTCCTGAAGTAATTGCTGCACTCAATACACTGTGTAATGATCCTAGAAACACAGTGTTCATTGTTAGCGGGCGAGGAAGAACTCCCTTAAGCGACTGGCTTGAACCATGCGAGAGACTTGGTTTAGCAGCCGAACATGGGTATTTTATAAGGTGCATATAATTTTTTAATGTTCTGCTACCGTTTTATGTGGTATGTCATTTATAAACTGAGATCTTTGTTTGTCCACTATTGCAGGTGGAATAGAAGCTCTGATTGGGCACTGTTAGCAGCAGATCTTGAATGGAGAGAAATTGTGGAACCTATTATGAAACTGTATACAGAGGCAACAGATGGATCCTATATGGAAATTAAAGATAGTGCATTAGTTTGGCACCATCAGGATGCAGACCCCGACTTTGGCTCCTGCCAAGCCAAAGAATTATTAGTTCATTTGGAAAGTGTACTTGCAAATGAACCTGCAGTTGTTCGGAGGGGACAGCATATTGTAGAAGTTAAACCACAAGTATGATTCCCCCCTTTTCTCGCGTATATTTTGACCAATTTAAGGTGAAAGTGGGGTTGCCCCATCTGGAACACCTCTTGTATTACATGTGATATTTTGTCATTTGGATACATATGGGTATGATGATCGAGTTGATTCCATGATCATAAGTCCAAGTTATATTGTGAATCTTTTAGATATATCCCACTGCCCATGTGGAAGAAGGTTTTTTAATTTATGCATCTTGATGTGCAGGGAGTTACAAAAGGGTTGGTTGCAGAGAAGGTCCTGTCATCAATGGTCAATGACGGATCGCCGCCAGATTTTGTGATGTGCATTGGCGACGATAGATCGGATGAAGATATGTTTGAAAGCATATTGAGCATCGTCTCTAGTTCATCCTTACCTGCCAGTCCAGAGATTTTTGCTTGCACTGTTGGGCAAAAGCCGAGCAAGGCTAAATATTTTCTTGATGACTCTGCTGATGTAGTGAGGCTGCTTCAAGGTCTCGCATATGCTTCTAGTCCAAAACCTCGACATAGTGCAATCTTCCAGGTTACATTTGATAGCATCTTTTGATAAATTCCAAAGGATTACTGACCACGAAGAAGTTGTCACCATCGAGCTTAACTTAATAGGATGCGCAGCTGAAATGTTGTGGACTTTTGCAGCCATTCCACTTGGTCGGGTCTTGTCTGGGTGTAAGATTTTAAGTATAGAAATCATCTTTTGACCTAAAACTTTTACGGCATAAGCAGATGTTGATAATGGCTTGCCGTTCATTGAAAGGCACCATTGTTTTGTCTAGTGAACATTTTTCCTCCTGATGCAATGCCCGTTTGATTTATGGTTTCGGTAGATCATTACACGGAACTTGAATTATTGGTTGAAAATGAATTTGAAAAAAAAAAATTGAGAAAATGGATGACAAACGGGGGTCAAGTAAACTTTCAAACACAGGCTATGACATTAAAAACTTGTGGTGTAATTCTAAATTGCTTACAATTGACACAAGCACAAACCCACCAATGCTATAAATTAAGAAGGATTATTTTACTATAAACTAATTATAATCTGACTTAGTTCAAGAGAGAGAAATTAAGAAGGTGAACCAATGGAATTTACATTTTTAAGTATGGGTAGTCTCTTGAATACTTAAAAAGGCACATGGCAAGGGACAAGAATAACCCAAGGGAGAGTTTGTGTGGAATCAAAAAGAATAGATCTTCTAAAGGAAAGAATCGATCTTCCATAAATGAATCCACCAAAGTAATCTCCCATATAACGAATCACACTCCCTACATTCAAATCGCATGTCGTGCATTGAATAGAAAACGAGGATCCCTAATTACGAAATTTCAAGAGTTTATGATGAAATCCCCCAAAATTCTATTCACTGTGACTCACAAGGAGTATTATTTCAATTGAAACCCTGCAAATTTCTAAAGCCATTTTCCTTCAAAAGCTGCAATCTTATTTATATGATTTCCACATCCTAAGCACCTTTTACCTTTACCTCTTCTTATCAAATCCAAACCTCATAGATAATACTTAACATGACTGAATTTCTTCCACATGTCCAACCTTCAATCGACACTCTCCAAAACAGAAGACCAAATTCTGATTACGTACTCTCAAACATAATAATAACCCCTTATTGCAAAAGTCTGGGCAAAACTACAATGGACATTTATTCCAACAATTAAGCTATTACACATGGTAGTGCTCGAGTAAAAATTTCGAGCGTGTATACTTTGAGCAATGTAGCTGTGTATAGGAGAAATTTAGAAAGTGAGGAAAATGACCAATTTCCTTGAGAAGTTATATGAGATTCAAGTGACCATGCTATTGGTTGAGAAAATGTAATTTCAAGTGGTACTGTGAATGTCGACCAAGTTCATTTGGTAATGTTTGAGACAAGGTGTCACGGGCAGCAACTTTACTTAAGCCCCGTGATCCTATCGCAGCTACAGTTTGTCCAACTTCGGCTGCACATTGTAAATATTTCATTTAATTGTAAAATAGTTGGAAATTAGAAAAGCTTTGTATGATTCTTCGGCTTTTAAACGTCTACTCCCGTCATTCGGGTTTTTGTTGGTAAGTCTATTATAGGGGTATTTGTCTTTCAAACATCTTTCAAACTTTCTAGTATTCGCCTCGTACACTAGCCATTGTAATTTCCTACTTTCGGCTATTGTAATGTTCAGCTTTCAAACAATCAATGATCAAATTTATTTCAATACATTTCAATTTCATTTTGTAAGCTTTCTTTAAATTGTGATCAAATTTACTTTCGTCCCGAAACGATCGAGAGAAAGCGATAGGTAGTCTAGCGGAGCAGACTACTACTGCACGGTGTCCCTTTCTGTGCTAGGAAAAAAGGTAACTCGTGAAAGTTGGTATTAGAGCTGTGGCTCAAGACCCTCGATAAGAAAGCTATGGATCCAATGGAATCGGACATCACGAAGGTGGTAGATCCTCAAAAGAGGAACACGAAACAGCGTTTGGAGGCACTTGAGGTGGCACACACTAGGTTGTGTTTTGTCATGGAGGGCCTCAGAGAAAAGGTCAAGGTGACAGAGACGGAAACTCGGGAATCAATCATCCAACTGGATGAATGCCAAGAAGCTTGCGCAGCTATGACTGAAGTTGTTGCTATCATACCTGATCTGCAGGATTAGGTCGGAGCGTTGAGAGCTCAATTACTAGTTCTATAACGCGCGATTGGCAATGGGGAAGCCACCGCACAAAAGTATGTGCATAAGCTCAAAATTACAGATCCGTGTACCTACGGAGGGGCACGTGATGCTAAAGAAGTTGAGAACTTCTTGTTCGACATGGAACAATACTTTCTTACGGCTTCGATCCAAGACGAAGCGAGAAAGGTTACAACAGCTACCATGTATCTAGGTGGAGATGCAAAGCTATGGTGGCGAACGAAGTATGCTGATATTCAAGCCAACAGGGTTCGAATAGATTCTTAGGATCTTCTCAAGGAAGCAATCAGATCTCAATTTTTCCTAGAGAATGTGAAATATGAGGCACGTCGGGGCCCTACGAGAACTGAAACACACAAGCTCCATCAGAGAGTATGCGAAAGCCTTTTCAGGACATATGCTAAATATTCGAGATATGTCGAAAAAGGATAAGTTGTTCACCTTCATGGAATGGTTGGAACCGTGGACACGCACGAAACTTCTGAGACAGAAGGTCACTGATTTAAGTCCAGCTATGGGAGCTGCTGAATATTTGAGTGACTATCATCTAGAATCGAGAGAGGATCGACCTTCGGGAAATAGTCAGTCTATTGGAGGTGAAAATAGATCTCATAGACTCAGTTCAAGCTCAAACGGGGGAGAGCGTTACCCTCAGAATGGGGGAGGAGCCTATCAAGGCAACCGTCAGAGTAACAATTGGAACCAAAGAAAAGCAAAGGAGGGTAGATCTGATGCCAATCCTAAATTGAAGTGCTTTTTATGTGGAAGACCACATCAAGTGGCAGAGTGTCCTCAGAAACGGATGGTGAATACATATTCCCAACCAGCAAGTGGCGGGACCAAACCAAAGAAAGGTACCCCCGACTCTGGAGAAGATGAGGATGTAGTTGGTACATTCTTACATCGGTGCAATACAGTATCGTACCGAGTTACTAAAAGGGAAGATGGTCCCTGGAAAGAGTCGAAGATGGAAGAATCGAAGGCTCGCATTTGTAGGGCGAAAGGCCTAATGTACATTGATGTAAAGATCAATGGAAAGCCAATCAGGTCTATAATAGATACCGATGCTACCCACAACTACGTTACAAGTACCGAAGTAGAGCGACTTAGACTTTTTCTAGGAGAAGGTAAAGGAAAGGTTAACGCAATCAACTCCGCTGCTCAACCAATAGCGAGAGTAGCGAATCTGTGTCAATCAAAGTAGGTCCTTTCGTGGGAAGGATGGATTTTCGGCGGATGGATGATTTCAAGCTCATTTTGAGATTGAAATTTCTTCGGGATACGAGAATAGCAGTATTGCTGCATTTCGATTCGTTAATAATGATGGGTAGTAAATCATGCATTATCCCCATACAAGTTGTGAAAGCAGGCGAGAAGGGTATCTCAGCCATGCAATATAGTGAGGGTTTCAAGAGGAATGAACCCTCATTTTTGTGCGCTTTTTGATTAGAAGAGATTGAAGAGGTGACTGGTCCAATTCCAAAACTTGTGAGAAGGCTTGTTAAGGAATTTAAGGACATCAAGCCGAATGAGTTACCAAAAAAATTTCCACCAAGGAGGGCAATTGATCGTGAGATCGAACTTATTCAGGGTGTTGAACCTCCCAATAAGGCACTAGATCGTATGGCTCAACCGAAGCTTGAAGAGCTTCAAAAACAAGTGCGAGAAGTGTTAGGAAGTGGGACTACTGTACTACTACAACATGCATACTACTGGCCTCAAAGGCGGGACAAGATTGCAAGTTATGTGAAAACTTGTCTTGTTCTTCAGCAATATATGGCAGATCATCAGAAAAAGACAGGCTTACTGGAGCCCATTTCCATCCTGAATAGACCAGTCGAGAGTGTATCGATGAACTATATTGGTAGACTGCCAAAATTGGAAGATTTTGGCACTATCATGGTCGAGGTAGACTGTTTATCTAAAGATGCAACCTTTACCCCAGCGCCCAATTATGTATCAGCCGAAGAGACAACTCAACTCTTCTTCAAACATATTGTTAAATACTGGGAACTGCCTAAGAATATCGTCAGTTATCAGGATCCTCGATTTACTGGCATACTTTGGACCGAGTTGTTCCAACTTCTTGGTTCAACTTTGAGCATGAATTCTAGTTTTCACCCACAATCTAACGAACAGACTAAGCGCTTCAATTCTATGCTGGAAGACTATTTTCGGTACTTTATCTCTGCTTTGCATGAAAATTGGGTAAAACTTTCGGATGTGGCCCGGATGTGTTTCAACGCTCAAGAGTGCTCTTATCCCAATAAGAGTCCTTTTGAGATTACTACAGGCCAGCAACTGTTACTCCCTCATACTGCGGATATCAATCAGAAACAGTAAATAAGTCTGCAGATCTGAAGAGATCTGTTTTAAATTGAAAAGATCAGAAACGAAGGTTGCTAAAAAGATTTTGGCCATCGAGCTTCTAGGAAATATCCTCAAGAGCACTTGGT